CTGTTTTAAAAAATCTCACTTTTAACTGCTTCAAATTTTTTTAAAAAATAAGCCAGAAACGTTGCTGAATACATGAACAGTTGATTGACTAGACTGTACCCTCCTACATCTGATGACGTCTAACACGGAGAACAAAAACAGAATACAAAACAAGGTCAGGTGAAATATCTCCATGCACCCAACAAAGGTAACTTGCTTCCAATTGTTTTAACTAATGTCCCACACTGAGGTGACTCTACCAGAGGAAGAATTGCAACTCTTCAGGTATTTTTACCTCCAGTTATAAAATACAAAGAACAAGAGTCCAGAATGAGAGCTCCCCTGGAGAGCTAGGGCAGCCCTTTAATGAATGGCCTCTCCAGCTGCTCACTCACCATACTTACAGACTTTACGGCTCTTGCATGTGCTGGAATTACAAGTCATTAAAAAGCCACTTTGAAAACACAATAAAGACCTTCTTCTCTGACTGTGACAACCTTCCATCACATAAAAACCTAAGGCCAATGCTTCAACAGCAGGACGTTTACTGCCAGCTCCAGACAGTTTAAGCAGGGCAAGGAACAGGGTGGGGCGGAAGGAAATGAGCCACAACAAAAGAAGGGAAGTTTCTTTTTCCTTCTCCTTTTTTTCGTTTCAAAAGAAACTTCTGCTAAGGTGGTTTGAAGTCTTTATCTTGTATCTGAACCACTATGCACCCTTGGGAAAAATGCTCCCATCTGAAGAGATTTCATCTTTGTCTCTCAAGAAGATTTTATACAAGACGGCACTTCAGTAAACCAAAACTATCAAAAGGCATGATTAAAATCCCATTTCTCATACTGCAGATTGAAGTATGAAACATTTTACCAAATGTAATCTGCCCATTTTCAAGGAAAGATAATCAAAACTTGTAACTTCTGCACTTTTAAATTACAATTAAATTTTTAAAAAGCAAGGTCAAAAGAGTGATGGTAATGATAAGGAAATTACTATCATTACGAAATCCGATCATAAATGGTTATTTCAATTTTCTTTTACTGTTTTTTCCCCTCCTTCTCTGCTATGAATACTGAACCTCCATATCACAAAACACGAGCAACTCAATAGAGAAGTGGTTATATGAAAAACAAAAACTAGAGAATTACAGGAGGGGTGAAGGAAATTTGGGTTCGTTTTTATTGTCAAAGTTTAAACAGGTTGATACAAACCACAATCACAAACTTTTAGTTGATATTGATACACTCAAATTCTCATCCTTTCCTAGCTGCTAGTTAATGTTATCACTAGTAAGAATAGTCACTTTCCACAAGTGACTATTATGGCCACAAAAAGATAAATTCCTAAACCAAGAACAGCTTTACTCTAATAGGAATTACCTAATTCTTGAAGGTAAAATATTCTTAATGCAATATCAAGGCCATACACCTCAAGACAAAATTCAGAGTAAAATGACATATGTTTCAAGTGTCTTTTCCCTTTTAAAATATTTAAGCCACACACTTGAAAAAGAATACTAGAATTCTGCCGTATTTTTGAATATCAAAAAATCTTTCAATGCTTTAGGTTATAAAGGTTTCCAGAAGCCAAATCACATATAACAATGGCCAACTAACATTTTTAGACTACTGTGCTAAGTGCTTTACTCAGATGGACTAGTTTCACAATAATTCTACAAAGTAAATACTATGATCTCCATTTCACAAAAGAAGAAACTAAGAAATACATAAGATTAAATAGTTTGCCCAAGATTGGTACAGGTTGGATTCCAAACAGCCAGACTGTCTGACACCAGAGTGCAGACTAATTACTGACTGACTACCTACCTACCTACCTGAACACTTATCAACAAATAAATGATCCCTCAAAAAACATGCAGGCATACAAACTATTTCTCTCTTCTTCTTTTCAGAGTATATAAAAACCTTAACCAAAAGGAACCACATGAATAATCTTCCTAATCCATCTCAATAGCACTGATTTTCAATTTTATATAAAAACCTGAATCAAACTTATTTAAAAAGCTTTTTAAAAAGTTCTTCCTTTTAATTGTAACTAACTTGTACCAAAGCAAGACATTTTCTTTACAAATATACCAGATAAATAATCTTTTTGCTCCAGCCCTTCCTAATTCTTCACATTCTTCCAATTATTTTTTGTCTTTCTTTTGTTTCCAAAGTCCATGATCTCTGCCCCGCTGTGTCTAAAATTACCTGCCACTCCACCCCCTACAAATGAACATCACTCGAGCTCATATTCAAATAATGAAGCTGGGAAGAACGTTAGAGATCAGGTCATCTGATCACACTTACTCAGATGCAGATAAATAATCTGCATGCGTACCACCAGGACAATATGAATGGTGCCCCCTGAAACTGGGTCTGTCACAAGCTACCACAAAATCAGTTACTGGCCAAGGGAGGCTTAGGGCTACTAAAGGCTCTCCATTACAATTGCCTCCTTTCTTTCTGTCTTGTCCACAGGAGGGATACCAGGTAGTAGAAAGGCCAAACAAAGGCTATCTTTACTGGTAGATACAGGGAATTTCAGCCCTCTTTAATCCTCCTTTGCTCACAGAAAGGTCTTTTGGCCGTTGGCTTACTTGGAACCACTTTTGTCAATTCCCTTTTGTTCCAACATATACATTTAGAGAATTAAACTAATAGTGGCAACAATCAAAACACTACTACTTCCAGAAAACTGATAAAGAAAGTACAGTTGTTGGGTTTTATACCCAAATAATAACCAAAAGTCTTCAGAGGCTTTCTCTGTAATAATATACAAAGCATAGTACAAAACTCCTGTTACGATCACTGGATAGGTCATGAATTGCTTTGAAAATTTGCTTCCTACTGTAAGGAATTACAATTCTAACTCTTCATTTCAGAAGATTTTTCAAAATATTGCTTTGAATAAATACCAAGTTAAACATAACCTTTATGAAAAGCCATATCTTATAAATCATATATAAAAGGGAGAGAGCAAGAGGCAAACAAAACAAGAATATACAAAATTATCTAAAGAGAAAGATCATTTGTAATACTTCCATGTAGAAAGAGCATTCAATATTACGTTATGAATGCCATTTCGTCTTCTCACAAATCAGTGAACATTCAGGAAAGAATGTGTACTATAAGAAATACACATATACCCTCAGAAATAAAATTTCCATAAACTATTATTTACCCATACTAATTAAAATGTATTCTGATTTTTTTTTTTATTAATACTGGTGACGACATGCTAAATTGATTTCATGGCTCACCAGTGAATCACAACCCATAACTTGAAAACCTCTGTTCTAGAAGAACTGTGACATGTCAGAATATGGGAAGAAAAAATTGCTAAACTTGATGATCTTGATAGCCTAATCACACCCAACCACATCAGTGAACATTTCAGGATGACTTGAAATAAAAGTCAAACATACCAAAAAGTTCCATAACATCTGCATTAAGAGCAAGTTTTGAATTAAGGGGAGAGGTAAAAAAGCCAGCAAGGAGAAATAAAAGTTTGAGATATTGGAACAACAACAAAAAAAAGTCAGAGACAACTGCTTTAGATCACTGGAGTAGTGAAGTCTTATGGCCCCATTTAAGACATATTGGAACAAATCCATTAACTCTCATCTCCATTTCACAAACTATTACTATAAAGCCTTTACCAAACTCTGGAATAAATTTCCCAATCTCCAGTAATTTATATGTTACTATGCTCCTAATATGGTCTGCTATTGAAATTTCTAGGTTAGCTATAGAGAGTAGAAGGCTAGGGGGTGGTCTCTGGATGGCTGGGGATTGGTATTGGTGCCATGTCCTAACTCTAGGTGGCTTTCTACCCAGAGCGGTACAAATGCAGGAGAAACAATCTGCTACTAAGGTCCTCTTCTCCTTTCCAGCATTCGAACCAGAAACATTTGTGAAGTGACCCCCTGGGACAGAAAGAGAAGTCATATTCTAAAACTGTTAGCGATTTTTTCGTTAGATGTCTTTTTCGACTATTGCCTAGAAATATATTGACAAGCCAAGGTAAGGAGATGTATTGGGACTGATCATGACTGATAAGTAATGGTAAAGGCCAAAGTTAGAGAAAAAAGAAAAGTGAGGAGGAGATAACTTCTTGGTAAATAAAGGTCATTCTCCAGAATTGAATAATGTTCATTGTCAAATAGAATTGAATACCCCTTGCATTACTAACAGCTCTGTCACTAAAGTCTAAGATTTCTTACACTGGTGGGTTAGAATAGATAAACTGAAAATCCCTTCCAACTCTGAGATATCTGTGACTATAAGTTTAAATTTCAACCTCAGGTAACATTTTAGGGGGATATTAGACAGTCTTTTAAGCACTCACAGAAGATAATCCCATTCATCAGAAACTTGTAATGAAGATCACATACCCCACCGCTTTCAAATCAGTGGCTATACAATGAAAAAAATTAAATATTTCATTTTCAAAATACTGTCACTTGATTTCGCAGGCACATATTTTTGTTAAAATTATCAAATTATATGTGTCGTATATTGTTAATTTTGCCTCGACAAAACTGTTTTTAAAATACTTCTCATCTATGTAAACAAATTACTTCATTCCACTGATCAAAAAGATCAACATTATAGCACCCTAATATTTTCTAAGTTTCTCTTTTAAATTTATTTTCCTTTGTATTCAAGTTTTACTGCATTCTTCTCACTTTCCTAGGTCAGCAATCACTGAAAAGCACAGTAACCAAACGCTAATGAACAACATCTAAATTTTTCTGCTGTAATTCATATGACTCATTATTATACTATGGAATATATCTTTCCTTTAACAACTTAAATCGCAGCCTAAAAATCTGCAGATTTCTTAATGATTTCATTTCCTTCTTTCCATTAGTTAAGAAAATTCATTTCTAGGCACTTCCATGCTACCATTTTATGGTTCGACCATCATTTTTTTCTCTCATTCTTTATCCCAAAGCTCCTTGAAATAACATCTGAAAACTAAGAGGGGGAAGGAGGGAAATCAGTGAGACTACTCACATCAGATTTAGAGGACATATTCTCCTCCACGTCGGAATCGTTGGGATCCACAATATCATCAAATGGTGGTAAAGTTGATTTCTTCTTCTCTGATGCCTCACTCTCAATTTTGACCTTTCCCATCTTGACATGAGATTTATCTTTTATCTGTTTTTTGTCAGCGGAACAAGTGAGTATCAGTGGTGGCGCACTAGAAAAACTTTTAAATAAAGCCTCTGAGCTACTCTTTTTCCTTTTTTTGGCTGAGAGTTCTTCAGAATCTGAAATGGGGGGCCTTTTACTAGGAGCCTTCTTATCTTGCTGTCCACTGGTGATAGTGAGTAAGTTACTGTCTGGTTTTGGCTCTTTTGACATGGGTTTCGGTTCCTTGAAGGCCATCTTAGGAACTATTTTTTCTTCTTTCAGTGGTTTATTTTCTTTGGGTTTCTTAGAGGATTCTTTGGAAGATTTGTTGTGATCCCTGGAAGGTTCTTTGAAGGCACTTTTATGTTCTCTGGAGTCTTTAGAAGGTTTTTCCTTGTGCTCCTTCATTAATTTGTGAGGCTTTGAAAAACTGGTACTGCTGCTGCTGCTGCTGCTACTGCTGCTACTGCTGCTGCTGCTGCTGCTACTGCTGCTACTGCTGCTGCTGCTGCTGCTACTGCTGCTACTGCTGCTGCTGCTGCTGCTACTGCTGCTACTGCTGCTGCTGCTGCTGCTACTGCTGCTACTGCTGCTGCTGCTGCTGCTACTGCTGCTACTGCTGCTGCTGCTGCTGCTACTGCTGCTACTGCTGCTGCTGCTGCTGCTACTGCTGCTACTGCTGCTGCTGCTGCTGCTACTGCTGCTACTGCTGCTGCTGCTGCTGCTACTGCTGCTACTGCTGCTGCTGCTGCTGCTACTGCTGCTACTGCTGCTGCTGCTGCTGCTACTGCTGCTACTGCTGCTGCTGCTGCTGCTACTGCTGCTACTGCTGCTGCTGCTGCTGCTACTGCTGCTACTGCTGCTGCTGCTGCTGCTACTGCTGCTACTGCTGCTGCTGCTGCTGCTACTGCTGCTACTGCTGCTGCTGCTGCTGCTACTGCTGCTACTGCTGCTGCTGCTGCTGCTACTGCTGCTACTGCTGCTGCTGCTGCTGCTACTGCTGCTACTGCTGCTGCTGCTGCTGCTACTGCTGCTACTGCTGCTGCTGCTGCTGCTACTGCTGCTACTGCTGCTGCTGCTGCTGCTACTGCTGCTACTGCTGCTGCTGCTGCTGCTACTGCTGCTACTGCTGCTGCTGCTGCTGCTACTGCTGCTACTGCTGCTGCTGCTGCTGCTACTGCTGCTACTGCTGCTGCTGCTGCTGCTACTGCTGCTACTGCTGCTGCTGCTGCTGCTGCTGCTGCTACTGCTGCTGCTGCTGCTGCTACTGCTGCTACTGCTGCTGCTGCTGCTGCAGCTGCTGCTGCTGCTGCTGCTGCTGGTATGAACACTCCTATTTGGGTCCTGCAAAAGAGGAGAAGAAAATAAAACAAAACGAAATAGCAATGAAGAGTCAAAAGCCAGTCTCCTTGCATTCGATCTACACAAAATGACCTCCCTTGGACTGCTCTCAAATTAATTTTAATAGACACCAACAACCACAGGTGGAAACAGGGTATGAGAGAAACATAGTGACGGAGGGCTACTATGGATGAAGAAATTTAACAAGGCAAGCTGTTTTCTCAGTCATGAGAAGCGTGATGTTCTAAACATTTCAATTCAACAAATGTTCACTAAATGCTAGGTTCTAGGAGATACAAAGATGGATAATACATGACCTCGCTCTTAATAACTATAACATATCTGTGATTCATAGTTGCTGTAAGAACCTCCTATATAGTACTACTACAACAAAAAGGAGGAGTAAGTAATTCTATTGGGGCATGGAGGAAAGAATAATTCAGAAATTTATAGACAATTAACACCTGAATTAGGTCCTCAAGGATAAGCAGGTAATTACTAGAATGAGAAGAATGAAAAGGTCCTTAGAAACCAGGGCTAGAATGAACAAAAACAATGAGGGATCAAAGCACAGATTACATTTGAGGAGCAGCATCCAGCATTGAGAAAGAGGTAGAAAGATAGCCCAGGGTCACATAGTGAGGTCAGACAACATTCAATTTTAAATGGCTTTTTAACATTAAGAATCAAAAGACCCAAAAAAGAAATAAAATTATTCTCAATTTCAGATACAAAAGTAATTTTTTTCCCTCGAAACTTCATCACTTAAGAAATATATCTCCCATCTACTAGCGAAGAAAGAAAAGAAAGAAATCTAACAAAACAAAGAGTTCATCTAATGGTCATCAAATGGACTGAAAAATCTTTAGCAATTCCTGTTGTGTAATCATGAGGAAAGAGTTAATTGTCGTTTATTTTATTAAGTGTTATCAATTTTTTCACTCATATAAATATCTCAGAATATATAACCTTTCTATTTAGGAACAAAATCTAAGTCCACACTTGGTCATGTTTGTGAACCTCTACCATTAATAGTAAGAATAAGAAATAGCAGTAAACCCTGGACCTGTGAAAATCCATACCAATACTAAGAGAAGAGCTCTATCTCACTTCTACCTCCTAATGAAACCAAAGGCAAATAAATGTCCACATTTTCAACCAGAATTTACAGCTTCAGGTTTGCTCATTATGTTTCACTCTAACTCACCCACTTAAGATCAATGATATCTAAACCAATCCTCTATTCTTTAAATACCTGACAGAAAAAAGATAGTAGGCAGGGGCTACGCTTTTCAGTAACATGAACAATCTACTTATTGGGTCTTCTAGGTGTGTGTGTGGCGGGGGCAGCACAGAGGAAGCAAGTGTATTGGTAAGCATTACAAATATCCAAAATGGAAAAAATTATTGTTCTATGTTAGTAGGAATATGTGTTTTTTCTTCATACAATTTTTTTTTATCTTACTCAATGACAACAAAATGACATACAACAATTATTCCATTTATTTTTCCCAAGTGAGCATTTGGTTTCAAAATTCTAAAATGGATACAATTACTAAGCAAAGACATGTTTTTATGCATCAAACTAGATAATTCCTTACAAAACATCTTAATCTGAGATTTAAAAGCAGAATGCTAAAGACAGTATTCGTATTACTGAAACTACGTTATTTTATATATTCTATTATGAGACATTTCCTGGCATAGTAAGCAATACTATGAATAACTAAAATAAAGTATAATGGACAAATTAAATTAAGGAAGAACATTTTGAAAGATAATATCCTTGAATTTATTGTTGTTGTTGTTGTTAACTGGTTTGTTTACTCACTGAATTCTGGCAATCTGCAATCAGTATTCTTTTATGGCTCTTGAAGACCCAAGCATTGCTGTTTAATATTCAATCTTCATGGAGTATTACACATATTTTTATAAATGTAGCTTTTAAATATATATATATATAAATTTTAACCTATCAACATATATTCTAATGCTAAGCATTAAAAAACAGTAACATTTCAGCACCAACAAAAATAAAAACTTCTATAGGGATTCTTCCATGATTTATTTTTAAAATCCTTTTTGTAAGACAAACTGGAATTCTTAATACAAAGTACATAGTGGTACATGACGCAGATTCTCATGTCACAGAAAGTTCAAGTTCTCATCTTAATTATATACATATGATGTTAAGTACAAAACTCCAGAAATTTTACAACTTTTTACTCCCCATGTTGGTCTAGGATTTTAATGCCTACTGTCACCTTTTCACCCACCCAACAAATCTTGATACAAGAAAGTAACTCAACTATTCTTGTTCCTTCCACTTTACCAAAAACCTTTCCTTAGGCTAAGATAACTCTGAGCTAAGAGAAACATATTCAATAACAACACCCAGACAAATAAAAATTTAGAAAATAACAAAAAGATGAGAAAATAGTTTCTATTATATAGGGCTACATTTTCTTTGCCCTGGGCCTGTGATCAATGGCAAAGTGCAAATGTATGTCACCTGACTCCATTTTCATACATATAATAAATGCAAAACAAAGGCTTATACACAAAATCTGGAATTAAATGGTTACTGACACAGAATTAAACCTTTCACTGAATCTCAGCTCACCTATACCTCATATATTGGCGATCAAGTCACTGGCTTTTTAAAATTTTTACTGAACTATCAATCTCAACATTAAGTGACACTAAGCAGCACAGACTAATTACCATTCAATGTGAAGTTTACACATGCTGTATAATTCAAATTCTCTTTGCCTGGGGCTGATTAAGACAAACTGAGTATTAATATTAGGGAGAGCATGTGTACATAATTCAAATCTCAAATATTTAAGGCAAATGACTGTTTAAACATAAATATACATATATTTGCACTAATGCAACCTGTAAACATAGAGTACAGTATTTTTTTTTTTTTTTTAATCCACTCGGATACTACTGAATGCTTCCTTGGTTTAATTTTCTGGAACAGAATGGGTCTCTTTAATGTATAATCTCTTTTAGTACTACTTGTCAGCAACCCCAGTAGATGGCTTAAGAAAAGAGGAAGGGGGTTGGGGAGCTGGGAGAATGGGGTGAAGGGTTAAAGAAGTGCAAATTAGTAGTTGATAGTTGGTCATGGGGATGGGGAGCATGGCATAGGGGATGCAGTTAGCATTAATATGATGGCTATGTGGAGGGCCAGGGACGGGAGGGAGCAATTAGGGGGATCATTTTATGAACTATATAGATGTCTAACCAATGTACTATATACTTGAAACTAATTTAAATAAATAATTTTTTAAAAAAGAAAAGAGAAGGTGCAACTATTGGTCAGAATAAGGTTTTCTAATTGTATGTGGCTTTCAATTTCCATGTTATCACCATATCTTCTTCCTAGGACCACTGATAATTCAAAGATGATTCTTTCTCCAGCTCCTGTTTATTCCTCTATCAATTCTCTTATTTTTGGCTTCTGCCATACTTTAACTGGCTTCTGCACTGTGCAAAATTTTCAGTTCATTCGCAACTTGTTCAATGAAATTTGCATTTGCAGAAATAAACTCTCCTCAAAGAATTTTATTTATCCCAAACCAATAAATTCTCCTAAAAATGTTTATTCGTCCAAGGTACATTTAAAAAGGACATTTTCTAAAAACTGTAGTACAGTACAAGAGGCTATTTATATAAAGGAGTCAGGAAACCGTGACAGTCAAAGACTGGATTTCAAAATAGAAGTCTATTCTGTAATTTCATTAAACACATCACAAATGGCACAGAGGGACGAAATACCATCTGAGGCTATGAATAAAGTATAAAAATTCAGGATTTGGGGGGTGGGGGGAATGAACCTTGGATTGGATTTACCTCCCCTGATTTCAATCCCAAATTCAACCCATTTACCTCTCTTGAAACAGTCAGGTCTAGAGGCCAGCAGGGAGTGAGTGGGGCCTGCAAAATGTGGCCATGAAATTCTGGGCATCTTCAGAGAGAACTGGTGCAGTTTTGCTCTACCCTGGGCTCCAAGCAAGACCCAGAGGAATTCTGCATATAGATAACTGCACTAGTGTGGCCAGCCTCCCTGGCCCCAAAGGCGCTGAGGAGGCAATCAGTAGAAGGGAGATTAGCCTCTAATCCTGAGGCTGGAGAATGCAAGACCAGAAGCAAGGCACAGAGTCCTCCGGGCCATGGAATACACAACATGCCTGTTGCTACAGTGCAGGCTGAGATGCCTGTACCTTTCATCATTTACAGGATACAACAATCTAAGTTCCCTTAACAGCTCAACCTAAACCCCAATGCACATATAGATAACAAACCTAAGGGTGGGAGAGAATAGGAGAGAGGATACCTAACATCTTCAGAAGGACACATGAAATATTGAGGACTACTTAAGGAGGGTCAAGTAAAGAATAAAAAATAATTTCTATAGATTAAAAAAATTAAATTTAAAAAGTAAAACTCTCAAGCTGAATAATTCAGATACATTAAAGAAGATTGGTGGAATGAAAGATCAATTGACAGAAATCTCAAAGCATACAGTAAAAATACAAAGATGAAAATCAAAATGGGAAAAGAGACTAGACTTGAAGAACAGATTGAGTCCACCTAACTAACATACCAACCATAGAAAGAGTTCCACAAGAATCCCTAGAAGGAAGAAAAAGAAAAGACAGAAGATATGCAATAATTAAAGTAATATGGAAAAAAATTTCCAAGAACTAAAGACTGACCTGCAACCTCAAGGGCTTTCCAAGATCCAGGCATGACTAATGAGAGAAAAGACACACAAGCAAGAATAGCATGCTAAAATTCCTAAACTTCAAAGATAAAAAGAAAATCGTAAAAGTCACCATAAAAAGTAATTATTTAAAACCAAAAAAGAATCAACTTAACGTTGAACTTCTCATTGGTAACATTGAAATCAAAAGAAAGAATAGTAACATCTAGACTGCTGGTAGAAAAAAAAGTACAACACAAATATCCTATATACATATTCAGTGTGAAAA